AAAATTCGGTTCTTATTCGATTCTTAGGTTTTGGGTCTAAAACCGAGAACCGAACCAAAGCATTCGGTTCTCGATTCGGATACCCGTTCGGATATTTCATTTAAAAAAACCCGCTCGATTCGATTCGGACATTTGCCCAGTCCTAGTTTAAAGTAAAGTTTGACTTTGATTGAGTAATAAAAGTAACTTTTAAGTCACTAAAAATATTTCCCTAACAGGTGTGTGTTTCAGAATGACATTAAACGCTTCTAAATTATAAATAGTAATGCATTATTCACATTTTTATCCTCGTAAACTCTCAAAGGTAGTGATCAAAACGTTCACCTCCACAAATTATACATTATTCCATACATCACCAAGTGACTTGAAACGGGCATGAATTGTACGAAATTTAAGAAAATTGATCGAAGAACTACACAATGGAGAAAAGGTACTCGCTGTCTCGTAAGAATATTGAAATGTACGCTGAGATTTCTTCCATGTTCCTGCCTCTGTTCTCATGCTTTTTTCAGTTGCTGCCAAAACAATGTCATGTCAGATGATTAGGTTTCTTTACATTCTAATATATTTCATGATCAAATTCTCCATATTCGATATAGTAGAGTTAATTTTGAGTACGTTTGATACGTTGGACTGCATGTCCATCATAACAAACGTGTCCTTCAAATCAATTTTTGTTTGCTAGAAGTCAGCCTTACTCGTTTCTCTTCTTCAATCTTGGCCTTAATGAAGGAGTATATTGCAACTCCAGCAATTGCAATGGATGTACCAATACCAGTTTGCAGTGAAATTTTGTTTCCTGCAGAGTGTAAATGGTTCAAAATCTCTCATGCTATAAGATGACACTAATATTTACATCCCAGTGCAAAATCATGTTTAAGTAAAGAAGTGTCTATATTTACCAAAGACCAGGATCGAGAAGCCAATCACGAAAACACGTTTCAACACATTGCCAACTGCATGAGTGAGGGGTGCCACTCTCTCAAGGGTGTTTGTTGCTAGCTGAGAAGTGGAAAAGGAAAAAGTTTCAATCTTTGGAAATGATAAAGAACATATCATCACAACAAGCAATTTCGCTACATCATTTACAGTTTGATTATAAATCATATCAGACTGAAGCGTAAAGTTTCTAGCAATTGTAACATGGAGTCAGGGTCAAGTTTTTTATTGATCCCATGATGTAAAGCTTAAGCATAAACTGAAATACCTGATTGTAGAGGTGGTAAAACATTCCAACCCAGAAAAGATCTGTGATGAACTTTGTTAACCCCACTTTAGCAATTGCATCACTAAACCCGTGCTTTAGTAGTTGAGGTCCCTCAAGCTGCGTGACGTGCAAAGACACATTATAAAAGTCATAAGTAAGACATAAGAACCAAAGAAGGGGGGATATAAGAAACATTATATTAGGAAAAGAAAATCCCCATTTATGGGCCATGACTCACGATAAGGGCTGGTGGAATACAGACAACAAGAGCGATGATAGAAATGTAGGCGTATAGGTTAGTGCTATCCATATCGGTCTGCAAATGAAGCATTAATTAGAGAGGAATAGCCCCAATGGATGAATGCAGAATGCACTCCGCCTATTAACATCTCTCATAAAATCAAGATAAAATGGAAATCTAATAAAATGTGCATCACGCAATTAACCATAGCTTTCTTTGAATAGATGCTCCTGTAAGTGAAGGAGATATTGGAAATCATAGCACTAATGAAGCCAGTCCAGTTGAAAGACAGCTCAGTCAATGATGCCATTGATACACCTGCATTTTATGCATACAGTTAAACTACAAAAGGTTAAAATTATAATTATTATGGTGCATCTTTCCGTCTGTTAAAAGATGTCATTTATGTGAGTGCGTGAAGGAATCCTCCGACAAAAAAAAAAGTACAATGTTGTCTAAGATATAACATTCAAGTAGCTGTGACACATGATGGATAAAATTTTCCCCATTTTAAATTTAGAAGAATATTATAGCTTACCAAGAACAACTGGTGCCAGTGACAACCATAATGTGATAGGTATTTGTTGCCCAAGTATGAATTGTGAAGCAGCAGCATTGAAGAAAGGCTCGAGAGCTGATCAAAATACAACATAATGAGACATTTTGCAAAATAAATAATGTGAATTTAAAATAATGACGAAGTTCATTTAGATCTAAATTAATCCTCGGAATTAGGTTCAACGTCACCTTTAACTGTATGAGTGAACGAGACAGCAACAGCAGCAAACGAGACATTGCTTGTTACGTGGCCTAAAGCATGGCACACAGCCACTGGGATGAGCAGCTTCAGGAGGTTTGAGTCAATTGGCTGCATAAAGAACATCCAAAAAAATTCATATAATTATTAATATAAAAATGGTAAGGCCGTCAAGTCAGGCCAAAGGATTTTAATAGTTTGAGCTAATTTATATAATTTATGCAAGTAATCACGATTCAGCTTGGATTGCCGTTTAAAAAAAAAAACACTCTTACAGCTCGCTTGGGAAGTCCCACAGCCCAGCTAACCAAGCAGTAAGCAACCCCAACGAACAAATGAATTACCGACACAAAACTGCACAGAGAATCAAGTCAATCATAATTACGCTAAATTGCCCAATGAGGAAAAAAAAAATTTAGATGTACAATGCGATACGTACTAAGGATAGGGGAAGTAGTTGTAGATCTTCTTGTTGAGGATGTTGAAAATTACGTTCAGAAAGTACCTGGAAAATTAAGAGAAAATGGTAAATAAGTTATTAAGTCCTGTTTGGTATGCAGATTAGAGAAATAAAGTAACGTACCACATGAAGAAGAAGAACCCGGTGACAATAGCCGGATATTTCTGGAAGAACCCGACCGGCCTGCGAAAGAAATGTGTCAGGACAGTAACAGTTCGACAAGAGGTCAGCTCAAAATAGTTGGATATTATGAAAATGGACCTCACCCGGGTGAATCGCTTCCTTCGGCCGGCGAAGAAGCCGCGGCTAGGCATGGCGGGAGACACTCCCTCCTATTCACCGGAAAAACCACGGTCGCAGGGGAAGCTTCGAGCAGAATAGCTGGACGGAGCTTCTTTCCCCAAATCAAGTTCCCGCCATCATTGAAGGTGCCGGTGGGCTTCAAGGCAGGGACACCGCAGTTTACGGTGAACCTGGCCACCGGCTTCCGAATAAGTGGTAAGCCGCGAATGGTGGTGGCGCCGGTTAGCACACGAGACTCCATTTGACCGTAGAGAGAGAATGGAACGCGAGAGTGTCTAAACGACAGGTTATGGCGAGCGATGGGATTGTTAAACTTGCACAGGGAGTGGGAATACCGTTTGATTTGTTTCTATCAGTGACGAAACGAGCGGTTCGTGTTTTTTGGATTTATTTGAGATTTTTTCTTTTTTACTGATCTGCTGCTTCGCAGACCATTTTAATGTAAGTACACCTATTGACATTGATATTCTTGATTCTTCAATAATTCATCAGAAATACTAACGTGATTCTCGAAAAATTATTTTATTTAATTTTAGCATAGGATATTCTCAAAATGGGGCATTAATATGTATGAATTGAAGATTTTAATTACAATTTCAATTATATACTTTTGTGTAAAATGAGAAAAATCGTAAGAATTAAACGGTGTCATGATTGAAATCAGTTTACGATACAATCACCGAATTTCTCCAATTCAGCTGTTAAATTTTGTTATTATTTATTATTTTAATTTCGATTTGGATTTGACTTCCATCTAGCCCTTTAACCCTTTATTTGTTTTTTTTTTCTTTTCCCAAATCGAGCCCCGTTTGATCCATATTTTTCCTAAAATATATATTTCTTCCACTTCTTTTCAACCATACATTTTCCATCAATTTATTATTCCAAAATCCATTCTATACTAAAAATGAAGCTCAAACAGACCCTTATAATTCTTATTTTGTTCAATTTAAAGAAAATGATTGACATCATTATAATAAATGAGTGGAAAAATAGTAAATAGATTTTTTTATTTTTTATTTTTTTAATTTTTCATGGTTAAGAAAAAAACCNATTAAAATCTATCTCAAACAAGGCCTTAATTTTAGCATAGGATATTCTCAAAATGGGGCATTAATATGTATGAATTGAAGATTTTAATTACAATTTCAATTATACACTTTTGTGTAAAATGAGAAAAATCGTAAGAATTAAACGGTGTCATGGTTGAAATCAGTTTACGATACAATCACCAAATTTCTCCAATTCAGCTGTTAAATTTTGTTATTATTTATTATTTTAATTTCGATTTGGATTTGACTTCCATCTAGCCCTTTAACCCTTTATTTGTTTTTTTTTCTTTTCCCAAATCGAGCCCATTTGATCCATATTTTTCCTAAAATACATATTTCATCCACTTCTTTTCAACCATACATTTTCCATCAATTTACTATTCCAAAATCCATTCTATACTAAAAATGAAGCTCAAACAGACCCTTATAATTCTTATTTTGTCAATTTAAAGAAAATGATTCACATCATTATAATAAATGAGTGGAAAAATAGTAAATAGATTTTTTTATTTTTTATTTTTTTTCATTTTTCATGGTTAAGAAAAAAACC